TGTGTGGACCCGTTGTCACTGTGTCCTTCAGCCTTGTCTTTGTATCCTATATTGCTCTGACTGGTATATAGGGCTGACACCTGTGGCATTTCTTTGAGCAGTCTGTAAGCTTTTCCCGGGTTACTGTAGCCTAAATTGATTGGTCTTTCGTGTATGGGAAGTATACAAGTTAAAGGTAACTTTTAAAAGATAAATTCAGCTGGTGAGATGGCTCAGCAGGTTGGAACACTTGCTGCCAAGCCTGTCAAGATTTTGAGTCCCATCTCCAAGACTGACATGGTAGGAGAGAACGCACCTGGCAAGTTGTCATCTGACCTGCATATGTACAACATGGCCTGTGCATACCCACATACATACATACATACATACATACATACATGAAGATAAGTTTGTGATTTTTATGCAAGTATAAAGACTTGTCAAAATGTTTATTAACTCCTTAAATATGTAAAAGAACTGGGAAGATACAACCATTTCAATAAGTAATTACAACAAGAAATACACTTAGAGGTAAAGAATACTGACAAGTGTACAAATAATTGCAAATTAACAATCACAGGACATTAATCAGTTAGTTACACATAATTCATCTTCATTGTTGTGACCAAGAATTTCAACAGCTTGAGAGTATAAAGTTGCCTAGAGTTTCCAAAAGTATGCACCTGAGATAGAATGCCTTCCTTACCTCATTCACAGTCTTCTGGAATTTTTCCTGACCTATACAAACTGTGTGCATTAAATATTAATTACTTCAAAATAGAATAGAATAAAGGCTAAAATATGTACACTATTCTTTGCTGCCCTTTGGGGATGTTTGTTGAAGGGAATCCATTAAAGGGAAGCAGCAAGGGGCCTTCCTGAGGAGAGCAGCAGACTGAAAGGAAAGGTTGCTTTGATTTTACATCTTAGGGTGAGACAAGGATGCGCACTGTGTCTCGGGGCAGAGTCAGAGAGTGAGTGATGGAAAGGCAGGGTGGCGTCCACACAAACAGTTACCTCCACTAAGAATCTTCATCTGGATTTGGAAAGGAGAGAGAGGGAAGGGTCTTTTCCTGTGGGTAATAGTTTTTATTACATGTGCTCAGCTCAGTCTGCATTATCCAGTGCTTGTGTGAGCAGATGACTGGGCACCCAAGGATAGAATGCACAGTCACACCTCTAGAACAAAACCATTACATGTTGAGTTTGTTTTAAAACTTTATAAAGAATTTTCATCAGAGGTAGACAATTATAGGTACTTTTTTGTTGCTCATTTTAAGACATCATAAAAGTTTAATGGTAAATACATCTAAGAATGTACTTTGATTTATACTTTATTTCAACAGTTTTCTAAATACTTACCGACCTTTTATGTATTGGCATTCATATAAAAGAACACATAATGATGCAAATGCAAGTCAGAACAACAAATTCTAGGCTCTAGAACTGCAAAAGACTCATGCAGATAATGTGCATTTAAAAGTAAATATTTTGTCTTACAAATTTTACACTTCTATAGTTAATATCAGTAAACATTGTTCTTAAATCTCTTTAATTTTGTATATAAAAATAAAATATCCTTACTTAGCTTTAACATGTTTTTTCAAATAAAGACATTACTACCATATTAAATAGCACAGAGTTACCAAATCGTAGACTTAAAATCAGTGACACAAATCACATATACAGAAGGTAACATATCAAATGCAGTGTTGGATAAGGACTTAGAGTACAGTGCCCTATCAGCTGTATATGAAAGGTAGAACCTTAATCATTGTGTTACAGAAGGATGAGGGAGACTGTAGGTGGGCCCTGCTTTATCGGGTGGTGCCAGAAAGCATGTCTCATGATCAGAAAGTGGGGAAGAAACCCAGTCTTCAGGTAACGATCTTATTGGCCCTTGTTTTCTCATACTATAAGAATTCCAAGAAAATTGAAGCGGTTTTGGCCAGTTACTGATTATAAATGCTGTCTATCTCATTTTTTTAAAAATCTCTGAATAGGGAATTTCTAGTCTCTCAAGGGCCTAAGAAAAAAGCAGCGTCTCTACCATTCTGAATACAAATTGTGAAGTTGGTGGCCCTCTGGCGTCATTGTTGGTGAGATTGCAGGGACACGCAGGCTCCCTACAGCTCAGTAAGAACATCAGCAGCATGTAGGTGCTTTTAGTGCCCACATCTGACTACTGTTTCCAGTTCGTGGTACTTAACATAATACTTTAAGTAGGTGTACTGTAAACTGTTTCTTTCCGGAAAAATTAAATTACTAGCCTTGTGTATTAAAAACTAATAGACTAGAAAGGCAGAATTTGTGTGTGTGTGTTTGGCTTGTTTTTACAGTTGATGTTTAAATTTGGGGCAGTTCCAATCCTTCAGTGTCAGTAAGTGGTCAGAGTTGATGTTGTGGAAGTTATAAGTGAATATCCACTGCTAAACCTTTCCTGATGTACCTGAACAGTTACAAGATAATTCAGAACAGTAACAGGGAACTGAAAATTACCCTGATTTAGGCTGGGATGGCAGAATGAACCCTCTAATTCCAGATACTGTGGTTCTGTTGAGGTGAATTATTTGTAGTTTGGTTTAGTTTGGTGTTTGCCTGTTTTGTTGTTTCTGGTGACTGCAGGAACTTAGACAGGAGCTGCTAGAGCTGGGTTCTTGCGGCAGTGTTTCCCTCCCTCCTATTGTCCAGGCAGTAGCCATGTAAAAACCAGCAATACCATTGGCCGATACCATAAAAATACATGTGCTTACTCCATCTTCAAACCTTAAAAACCTGCATTTTAGACAGGATGCAGCCTGTTCACAAACACCAGCCACTCTTCACATAAGAGAGCCCTGACGCATTACTTCAAAGAGAAAAACATCTTCTAATTTTTATGTTACAAACACCTTTACAGTTATCACATGTCCGTCTTTGGAAATGTAGACCAAGTCTGTAGAACTAATGTTTTTGCTAATGTTTCATGTTGTTAAATATATTTTTTATAAAAATCTAGCCAGGCAGTGGTAGCACACAACTTTAATCCCAGCATTCAGGAATCAGAGGCAGATGGATTTCTGTGAGTTCAAGTCCAGCATGGCCTAAGTCCCAGGACTGCTAGGGCTAGACATAGAAAACCTGTCTTGAAAACAAACAAATAAAAAAGCCTGAAAAATGTTATTTTAGTAATATACTTCTATATTTTAGAAGCAATGCAGATGTAATAGAGAAAAGCTGTCTAGTCAATCCATAATTACATAACTTCAGGAATTTATAACTGCCACATTTACAGAGACACTATTGAATGAAAGCAGATTGGTTTCATGTTGTGAACAATGTTCATTTATTTAATTCATGTATGATATTTGGAAAGGATTGTCAAATTTAGGGAAATTATTATAGCTTCGTTCAGTTAAACTTAAATTTTATATGATATTCCTGTTAAACACTTAAGTACAACTTGGTCACTAGAATTATTGTCTGGCTGTAAAGTGAAATTTTGCATTCCAATTTTACATTATAATTTCCCCCAAATTATTTTGGGAAATATTCATGATATCAACTATAATAGTGATTAGAATTTTCTCTTTTTCACATTAAATAATCTATTTAGGACTTTGATAGAGTCGACTTTTAGTCTGTGATTAATTTGGTGGTCATAGTGGTAATGTCAGCTATTCAAGATTATGTGCTAAAAGTCTTTTTAAAGATAAGAAAGCATAGGACTTAAAACTCCTAAATAGATTTTCATTTGAACACTTTATAAAAAAAATGTTTAAATAACTTGAAGAATACTGTAAAAAACAGTGTGGCAGGGGAGGTTGAGAGGAAGGAGAGCGTGTACTAGGAGAAGCCAGCAGACTAGCCAGGCCTCTGTGCTGTGCTGGGCACCACCTCTTGTCACAGAGAACAAATGAATTTATAGTCCTGAACAAATGTGATATGAGCGAATTCAAAGCAGTTTGAATGTTTTTAAGTTAATGGTTATGAATGACATCAGCTTATCACAGGGCATGGTAAAGGTCAGGATCCGAGGGCGGCTCGTGAGGATTCGCTGTCCCCGGCAAGTCCCACAGTGGTGGACCCGTCTTTTCATAACTGTAGATTTCAGGTTCTTCTCTGTAAAAACATACTAAATAGGTTTCTAAATTTCTTAAAGGAATTTATATAAAAACTAGGGAATAACTGACACTGAGCTCAACTTAAAAGGTAAAGGATTTGAATTAACGGACCTGTATCTAGAAGTAGTGGAAAAAATGGCCAACAGGAAAACTGGGGATTTGTTTAGAAGGCATGGGCCCAAGTCCTGACAGCTCATGAATCACGAAGGCAAAAGTAGGGAAATGGATATACTTCTCTCCAATGATAATTTTCTTTTGTATTTTCTCTGTGTGTAGTGAACTCTTGGGAAATATTTTTAAAGTAATAACTGCCTATGCTCAGTACTGATATGACCAAAAGATAAGTCATCCTCACTGATTTCAGAAAACATGAAGATGGTTAGGAAATTAACTTCAGTTTGTGGTCATAAAAATGATTTCAGAAACTCCGTTGCTGATCTTTAAAATAAATAATATACCTGCGTCTACACGATTGAAACACTCTTCATAGCTGAGACTGTCAGCTCTAAACGAGAGTATGAAAAAGCATTAACTTCCCCATGGAAGACATTGGCTGTATTGACTTGGGGAAGTTTCTTAGATAAAATAAAAACTGAGAACTGGTAATGGTTGAATGCGTGTAATTACTGAGATTCAGAGATTAAAATGACCATCTCTTGCCACTTCAAGAACTCAGTCTCTTTATCCTTTGGTGTGTGCTGGATTTTTTATTGCAGCCTTAATCTACGCTTGGAAAACAACAAGGAACTTAGGTTTGTATGGCTTGACCCCAGCTCTAGAAATCTCAACCCCAAGAGATCATGTTATTACATTAATATGTTGTAAATATGACATGCTAGTAAACATGTGTAAACTGAGTCTTCTTCCCTCTTCACATCATTGAGACTGCGAGTGAGAGCTCTGTCGGGTCTGTTCCAGGCATCTACCTGTCGGACTTGACGTACATCGACTCAGCGTACCCATCTACAGGCAGCATTCTAGAAAATGAGCAAAGGTCAAATTTGATGAATAACATTCTTCGAATAATTTCTGACCTACAACAGTCCTGTGACTATGGTGAGTGGAAAGAATGCCTTTTAGAGTTAATTTCAGTTTTGGTGCCATGTGCTCAGTTACCTTCAGTTATATTTCTTTCCTTAAGTTTCTAGTTACTATGTACTTTATTAAATAATCATTTGTCATCTTTTGCCTAGATATACCCATGTTGCCTCATGTCCAGAAATACCTGAATTCTGTTCAGTATATAGAAGAACTACAAAAGTTTGTGGAAGACGATAATTACAAGTAGGTCCATCTTCAGGTTTGGGTGATGTTTGTCTGGTTCTCCACTTTGAGCCTTCACCCTTTCATCCGATGCCTTTAGACTTCTAGGTATGGAGCACACTGGTGCCCAGTCAGTGATCTGTTAGCAGTGGGAAGGGTAATTACATGTGTTTCTTTTAATCATGTGATATGGGTGAACCAGTATACAAATGCTTCCGCTTTTTCTTTATTTAAGAGTAGTACAGCTTTTAAGCCAGCAAACGCTCTGTAGGGAAAGACAGGGGAAGGCAGCCCTGAGAGGCAGAGCTTGATTCCAGGGCCCTACAAGAGGAGGATAGAATCAATTCACACAAGTTCTCCTCCCTCAAAAATTAAATACAGCAATTTAAAAATACATTTTAATATTCTTAAACTGTAAACAACAACACATTTAATTCAAAACTGAGGTTTTCTTCCTTATCCTTGTGTACTCAGACTCTTCCTAAGGAAATGCATATTTCTGTAATCAGGGAAAAAAATTAATGCCATTCACAAAATACAGAAATTGTTCCTTCTTAAATGATTATTTTTAGACACATCTTTGAAAGTGTTTCACTGGTTTGAGAGACTGTTTAGACTTCCCTGAGGTATGGTACCACTGTAGTACCGTATTTAATAAATCATACTGTCCTTTAGTAAGGGACCCTTAAGCCGAAGCATATCTGGTTCCTCGTGGCCTCACTTCACATCACAACTGCTGAGGTAGAGAGGCCATGCTTTTTGTTTTTCTTTTAGTTTCATTTGTTGAATTTTTTTCCTTTACTTTCTTCATTATGTGTGGTTTTCCCTATTGCCCACGGCGTGCCACATTGTTGTGCTCAAGCAGTCCTTCCATCTGAGACCATTGAGGACTGGACATGCAGGTGTATACCACCTCACACGGGCATTGTTCATTGCCAAGCTTTAAAACTGAATTTTGTGTCTTCAGCCCTCCCCCAAGTCCCAATTAAAGGGCCTGTTTGAGCTAACAAGATGGCTCAATTAATAAGGGGATTTGCTTCCAAGCCTAACAACATGGTAGGAGGAGAAAACTGACTCTGTGTTGTTTGATAAAATTTTTCCCTAGGCAGACTCAACACACACAGGTCTACTCAACCCTGATAGGGAACCTACCACAAACACAAGTATGGATACCACCAAAATCCAACTTGGTAAACCATTGAGTTTTATTGGAGTTACTTACAGGAGTGGAAATGGCTCAGAGACAGCTATATCACCAAAGCCCGCCCAGCATGGGTGGAAACAAGGCTGGAAACCTGGAGCGCACTGCACGGCCTGCAGGCGGCTCATCAGGTTGGAGAGTGCCCTCAGAGACTCCACAACTGCTTTGCCGGCCTCTGTTTCTCCCAGGGTGCTGGCCTGGTCTTACTCTTTGCAAGTCTTGTCTGAGAGTGAGTCTTAGCAGTTTGACTTGTGTCTATCCTGGAAAGGAGGCTCTAGAGAGTCTGGTCAGTTTCAGGGACTTCCTGAAGCTGTTTGGAACTGTTTACCTTCCTGCTTAAGGAGCTTCCCAGAAGGGTGGAATGTTTTAACCTCAGAGGAAGCTATTATAGAACACTCAGGGAAGTCAGCCTCTGGCCTTCATGCTTGTATCATGACTCCTGTGCACACAAGAATGAATAAATGAATGAGTAAAAAAAATGTAAAGGCATGTTTTTAAAACATACCAAAAGGGACTGGAGAGATGACTCAGCGGTTAAGAGCATTGCCTGCTCTTCCAAAGGTCCTGAGTTCAAATCCCAGCAACCACGTGATGGCTCACAACCAACTGTAATGAGGTCTGGTGCCCTCTTCTGGCCTGCAGGCATACACACAGACAAAATATTGTGTGCATAATAAGTAAATAAATAAATACTTTGAAAAAGAATACATATGTAAAAATAATACCAAAATAGAAAAAATTCAGTGAGTTTTTTTTCCAGTATTAATGAAATAGTTTTTTTTATCCCCTTTGACTAATTATGATCTACTTTGTACTTACAGATTTCAACAGTCTTAATTTTGTGGTATAGAATTAGTCCCATTGAAAAACTAGAAATTCTGGAAAGTTATAAATTATTTTCTTCTGATATTAAATTTATTAAGCTCTGAAAATACTTTTATACATCTAAAATTGTGTTGTTTGAAAATCCTTTTATCATTTTCTTCACCATATATCATTTAAATTTCTCTCAGCTTTTACACAAAATAAATTTTGTTTATATATAATGACCCACTTGAACCTAATATGAGGGTATTATTAGCTTTTTAAGGCTGGAGTTTCACAGACCTCTTACACCATGCTGTGTCTTGAGTTTGATGGTCTGTGTCTTACTATTTAGCTCTTTTTCCTGTGCCTCTAGTTACTGCCTCTCGTATAAATACAGAATTTACACGTGACAAACACATTTTGTCCAGAGAAATATGAACAGTTATCTTGATGTCCTAAAATCTCAACACAAGTATCTATTAAAATCTTTCTCTAGGCAAAGAAGTATTATGTAGAACAGTCTAAGAAAAACCTATACAATTATAGAGAATTGTTAGCTCTTACTGACTATAGCAAAATTGTGCTGGAGTTTTTATTAAAGCTAATTGTTTTGTTTGTTGAGACACAGTCCCTCTATGTAGCTCTGGCTGTCCTGGAACCCACTGTGTGGACCACGACACTTGGAATAGTAGCTGATCCCTGCAGTGCTTTCCATACTGCTGTTAGATGCCGTAGGTAGCATTGGAATGTAGTCAGCCAGCTCCCATTCAGTGCTAGGAAAGGGAGACAGTGTGCCCAACAGAGGAGCGTGCAGGGAGTGCAGTCTGCTGAGCCGTTTGTCTGCACTGTCAAGTAACTGGAACATAGTTTTTTATTTTCTTAGGCGATGAAGGAAGTGATATGTGATTTCATTGAAACTCTCAGTCAAGTAGCATATTCGCCTCTGTTTATAGGGTCCTTGATTAGGCCCCCAGTGCCACCAGAATAAAAGACAACTTAATAAATTTTCTTTTTGTTGCTGTTGTTGTTGTTGAATAGCAAGATTTAATAAACAAAAAGCTCAGATTCAGCCAATTGTGAAATGACCCATTGCTTGAATGACAAGCAGCAAAACTAAAACAAAACAATCAAATAAACAAAAACATTACTGGATTGAATTTGCTCCAATTCTGGTTGCACCATATTACAAATAATTTATGTCTTCATAATACATAAATTGGGTCTAAAGTTCAAGTCCCATTTGGTATACCAAAAACACTTGTTGTTCAAAGCCATTCTGATTTCCACCGGAATTTCTATCCTGGTGGCCAAATAAGTAAGAGGTCTAAACACAGAGAAATGGCATAAGACATAGACCCTGGCCGTTCCCAAAACCTGCCCTGCAGGGTTTGATGGAAGAAAATAACTATTAACACATATTCAGTACTCCATGAACTGACTTACCAGTTTTATAAACCTAGGAATAAAATTTAATACATACCAGTAACCTTTTCTTGTATGTCAAAGGAGTCATAGAGGACTCAGTCTTCTCTCCTGGTGCCTCTTCCCAGTGTGTGTGCGTCTTCCCTATAGAACTCCTACCACAAAATGGCACAAGTCTGTTTATATCACCAACTCTCTCTCAACAAACACTGTTCTCATGGAAACTGTGGCTGCATCTTATTCAGATGCAGAGCTAGGAAGTAATGTTTGGTGGCGCCTACTGATTCCATGCATTGGGACATATAATTTTCTCGTGCCTAATTGTGCTACATGCTTAATGCCCATCATTCCATGTAATCTAGAAAACCATCTCATAATAACTATGCTTTTATACAAGGGGGCAATAATCTGACGGTACTTATTTTTGCCAATCTTTCTTATGATGGTGATCATTTCTTGACTAGTGGAATGCTCTTTCCTCTGTTGGACCCATTTTCAGGGCTTTGGTTCCTTCTCTTTCTTTGATACTGTGCTATCACTTTTTTCTCCTTCTCTCTACGTGTAAACATGTCCCAGGTTTCATCCTGGACTTTGCTCTAAGTAATCCCTTTAAGTTTTCTTCATTCTAGCGACGCATTGTTCCCTCTGCAGGAAACACCTGCTAGTTATACTTGTCATAAATCTCTGCTGCACCTTTTCTCTATCATCCTAAGCACCAAAGATACTTTTTTTCCTTTTCTCAAATCCAATTCATACTAAACAAAATTTTATTTATATACATTTATATATTACATATATAAAAATCATATAACACAAATTTTCTGTTCATTCAGACAACTTAATGAATTTTCAAATTCTTGGTAAATATAAGGCTTCACAAATTACACCAGAACATTTTCTATGATTAACTGATTCAGTATTGTTTCCAAGAATTGCTTTCCCTAATAAAAATCAAAATATGTTTCTGTGGAACTCAAAACTGGGTACTTAAATGGAACAAGTAACAAGAAACTCCCAGCATTAAGCACCCCCCACCAATCCCAAACCCCATACGGCCCTGGATGACCATGATAGCAGTGAGTGAGAGCCACCCAACACAAAATCCTGCACTTATGTTAAAACACTGTAAGATTGATTAGTTTGTGTCTTTTTGAGTTTTGTTTTTAGCTTGACTGTGCAGTTGTGAACTTTGTGGATGGTGTCATGGTGTGAAAAACAACTGCACACGCCTGTAAGACAAGGATTGGGAAGCCATTTGGGGAGCAGTCTTGGTATTTCTGTAGACGTTTCATTTCATAAACTGGGTTGTTTGATTTGTTGGGTAGTTTTGTAAAAAGTTGTTAAAGTTTTCAGTATTAAAGTCAGGCCAATAGTTCATCTTGTAGAGAGTCTAGAACTAAATTATATGTTAAATACATGAGTACATTCCTGGACTTGATTGCCATTTCATTAAGTGTATGTCAATACAAATCTAAATCTATTTTTGCTTCTTGGTTGGTTTGTGTGAGGCAGGATTTCAAACTGTAACCCAGACTGGCCTAGATTTTATTATGTAGCTCAGGCTGGCTACCATTTCCAGCGTAATTAAAATCATCTTTTAGTAATTTAGTAAATGTCTTTAGCTATGGTGAAATGTTTGGTACCTTTGTGTGGTAACTAAAGAGGCGTGTGTGTGTGTGTATTTATTTTTGTTTTTATGTCTGGGTATTTTGCCTGCCTGGTGCCTGTGTGGGTCAGAAGAGGGCAGGGCATCATATCATCTGAAACTGGAATTACAATGGTTCTGAACCCTGGGGGGCTGAGAATTGAACCTGGGTCCTCTGGAGGACTCTCTGGTGCTCTCAATCACTGAGTCATCTCTCCAGCTCCCTATTGGGTTTTTTGTAAAGAAAGATGACTTTGATATTTTATCAATGTTCCTTGTTTCTTACATTTTGCTCTTTTAAAATTTAGGCTCTCGTTAAAGATAGAACCAGGGACAAGTACACCACGTTCAGCTGCTTCCAGAGAAGACCTAGTAGGTTAGTCCATAGCTGTTGGTTGGTGCATGGTTTCCTTGGGGAGGGTTTTTTTCAAGGTGGGTTTCATTACCAAACAGTAGACCAGATAACCTGATCTCGTAAGAAAGAATTAATTCAAATTAAGTGAATACTTAGCATATCTTATACTGTCTATAAGAAATTATTTGGGGTATTAAAGTATATCAGTGCTGTCTGGATTTCTGTTTTATTTTGGTTTTTAATTAAAAAGTTGTTTGTTGATTGTCAATAATGTGTAAATAAATGTTCTTAGTTGAGGAAAATACATATGATATTAACAGTAGATTTATGAATATTATCTTTTAATTATTAAGAATACAATTTAATATTAGGCAATAAAGATATTTCTATGGTCAAAACAAAAATTCTAATTTAAATAATTATAGAATTCAATTTTAGTGACTTTGGCTTTCAGTGATGGGCCACGTGTTACAAATACAAACACCATACTTAACTTCTTTATCCTGGATTTACAACTGGTTTTTAATGTACATAAATCACATCAGAAACCCTAAAATGTAAGAAATTAATCATTAAAAAAATAACTGATAAATGCCTTTTATAAATTGCCAACATAGACCTTCAAACTAAGCTTTCTAGTGCATATCTAAAAATCTGAAGTCCTGGTTCATCAGTTGGAGGAAGTAAGCTGCATGACACTGTCCAGAGGAAGGACGCTCCAAGCAGGAAATACTTCTGTTTCTCTTAAATGTGCTTTTCATTCCTGTTTGTTCCTTAAGACAGGATCCTGCTGTGTAGCTTGTGCTGGCCTCTAACTCCCCATCCTCAGCCCTCAGCCTCCCTAGTGTGGGGTAATAGGTGCACACCACCATGCAGGGTTTGTTTGTGTTTTGTGGGTTTTGTCTGGTTTTTGTTTTGTTTTGTTTTTGACATGGTTTTATTCACTGTGTAGCCCTGGCTGGCCTGGCATTCACAGAAATCTACCTACCTCTGTCCCTTGACTGCTGAGATTAAAGGGGTAGGGCCAGCAGATTTTTGTTGGAGAGTTATTTTGAAAGCTACACATTGTGAGCTGTTTTTTTATTTTCACAAATCAGTTCAAGTGTCAGACAGTGAAATCATCATTTCTACCCTGAGCCCTTAACCTGGCCTATACATTTCATTCAGAGAAACTCAAAAGCCCTGTGTAAACAAGAGGGCATCAAACTGAAACTGAGTCAGAAGACTCGGGTACTTAGTCTAGGTTTTTGTCTGTGAATTAAGAGCCCAAACTGATCTCTTTTCTTTTTGATAAATTAGGGAAATGTTTATACCACCTTTGTTTAACATATTTAAGAAAGATAAAAATTAGTAGATTTTTTTTTATGGTTGGAGGTTTGTTTTAGAATTTGGAAAATACATATCCAAGTGAATTAAATAGAACTAACAACAAACTTTGATATCAGAGAGTTTTTGTTCGCTTTGGTTTTTTATTTTTGGGGGTTTTTTTGGTTGGTTGGTTGGTTGGTTGGTTGGTTGGTTTCTCCAGACATGGTTTCTGTGTGTTAACAGCTCTGGCTGTCCTGGAACTCACTTTGGAGACCAGGCTGGCCTCCAACTCAGAGATCCGCCTGCCTCTGTGTTTTTGTTTTTTAAGGATTCCTTGAGACCTCGTGACAGTTCCCCTCTGTCCTCTCCTCCTAGGTCCTGACGTGGGAGCCTCGCCCCAGAGCGGGAGGAAGAGCAGCGCTGCGGAGGGCGCCTCACTGCCACAGACACCCCCGTCCCCTCGGAACCTGATTCCACACGGACACAGGAAGTGCCACAGCTTGGGTTACAAGTCAGCACTTTTAATTTGGTCTTTCCATTGTTTTTAAGTTGTTTGCGGATGGATTTACTTTTGATTTCTTTGTTAGTAAAACATGTTTCTATATTCTGTTTACTTAATTAGTTAAGTATTAGGTGACTTCAGGCTTCATCTTCCTTGAGAAAAAAAAGAAAGAAATTAGGTGCTTGTGTGATTGGTCTTCGGATTCAGTAAAAATCTATCTTGTTTTGCCCAAAAAGAGTTCTCTTTTACCTGCATTTGGAAATGAGTGTATTAGAGGAAGAACAATCAGGAGCTCCGAGAGCCACAGTAATAAATCTAGAGAGCTATGCTGAAAGTTTCCTTTTAAAATTGTAGCCTTGTTATCAGAGCTATCAATTGTCGTGACAAATACAAATAGTAAACTAAATTATATAAAGCTACTGTCTTTAGTCCTAAATATAAGGGGAAACCCCGATTCTCATTTAGTGCCATTAGTTTTGCACTGTTGATTGCTGAAGAAGGAATGCATTTTCAGTGGGCATGTTCTGCTTCAAGACAAACTCTGAACACTCTTGATTATCTTTTATGTCCGATACTAGAAACAGGAGTTGTAAGGAGTGTTTCTCTTTGTTCCTAGTTTCATTCATAAGATGAACACAGCAGAGTTTAAGAGTGCGACATTCCCAAACGCAGGTCCACGGCACCTGCTGGATGATAGCGTCATGGAGCCACACGCACCGTCACGAGGCCAAGCTGAGAGCTCCACGCTTTCCAGTGGAATTTCCATAGGTGAGAGAGACTCGCCGCCCACTGCTCAAAAAAGAATCTGAACAAGCAACAAAAGCAGAATGACTTAGCCACAAAAACATTCATTAACCCTAGCACAGTGGTTCTCAGTCTCCCTAATGCTGTGGCCCTTTAGTGCAGTTGCTCTTGTGTGATGACCCCCAGCCATAAAGTTATTTTGTTGCTACTTCATAACTATAATTTTGCTACTGTCATGAATCGTAATGTAAATTTCTGATATGCATCTATCTCATATGTGACCCCTGTTAGGCCCTTTGACAACCCCAGTGTCATAACCTTCTTCCCTAGCAGAAATACAAAACATTATTTAAAACAAAGGCACAATCAAATGTAGGGTGGTGGTAATATTTATTATTTTTCACGTGCTAATAGTTTTGACTCCAAATGAGAAGGCATTTGAGGACTTTGAGAAAAGACTGTAGGCTGCTTTAATTGGTCAACGTATGCAATTTGGCTGAAAAGTGAGGAAAAGGAAGAAAGGAAGGGGTCAAGTGTGACTCCAAAGTCATTTGAATTATCAGCTCGTTAGCTGATGATGATCTTACCATATACAGGACTGGGAGAGAATTGTGTCTGACTGGCAACATATAGGTTTTGAACTTCTTTGATCTTAATAGAAATGTCAGGCCATTGAATGTATGAATCCGGATGTATGAATTTGGCTAGTGAAAAGTCTGCGGTCATATGAAAATTAAATATTTGTGGTATTTCAAACTGTAAGACTTGTTTAGGTCACCCAGGTGTAGTATAAATAAGTAAGGACATTCTTGCATATAAATGTTAATAGAAATGATTTTTAGTAGAAGATGGACTAACAGAGGAGACCGTGAAGGGGAAAAACCAGATGTGCTGTCAGAGAAGCCCATTGTCTTCAAGAGGGAAATGGTTTTGTGTGTATGTGTACTTACACCGCGTGTGTGGAGCCCAGGGGTTATCATGGGATGTCTTCCCCTAGTACTCCTTACCTTATTTTTGTGATAGACTCTTGCACTGCACCTGGACAGCACCGCCAACCCCTCAGGGCCTCCTACCTCTTCTCCCATGCTGGACTGCAGGAGTGCTAGGGCATCCAGACACAGTCCTCATGCGAGCATGGCAAGTGGTTTCCCCATCGTTGAAGGGGGAGATTCTAAACATAGCCATATCTGGTGCGTGTTCCCATAGATGCCTGAGGTAAGGTTTCATGATGGAAGCGTGTAACACGGCAGAACCATTCACCTTGTGTTGGAAACTGAGAAAGAATATCTTCTCTAGGACATTCCCCTTAGTGACCTGAAGACCTCCCACCACCTCCCAGTAGGGCCACACTTGGGGACCGTGCCTTTAAAACGTGGACTTCTACATGATCTCATAGGTCCAGGCTGTAGCAAATCAGCACACCAGTAATCCCAGCACCTTGGAGGTCGAGGCAGGAGGATCACAATTTTGAGGATAGTCTTGAGCTATATATTAAGACTTTTTTTTCATAAGAAAAAGGGAGAAAAAAAAGACAGTTACATGAGAATGAAAAATTGACCAAAGATTTGTAGAAATTAAGTTTCTCTGCATTAACAAGCATTACATAGTAGAACCATGGCTGGAGAGCCTTGAGTAGAGTAAATTGGTTTGGTTGGAAGTCTCTTGTTATTGTTGAATTTTTTTTAACGATTTAAACTGTATTATAAAGAATTTGCAACTGGGTGGTGGTGGCGCACACCCCTGGGAGACAGGCAGGAGGATCTCAGTGAATTCAAGGCCAACCTGGTCTACAAAGCAAGTTCTGTTACACAGAGAAATCCTGTAAGGCCCTAGCTGTCCTGGAACTCTGTAGACCATGCTGATCTCAAACTCATAGAGACCCACCTGCCTCTGCTTACTGAGTGCTGGGATTAAAGGCGTGCGCCACCACTGCCTAGCCACTATCGATATTTTTATGACCTTATCCACCATCAAAAAAGAAGAGGAAGAGGACAGAAAAAAACAGTCCATGGTAGAGTTAAAACTAAAATCAAGAAACTTACCTTTGGATTAAGTGTCCATCAGCTGCACCCAGGTCCTGTCACCTAATATTTGCCCTGTGTTGTTTTCCTTTCCTCATGTTATGCTGTGCCCACTGTACATTTGTTTACATAGTCCATGCATATATTATAGGCTAGGATGCACATAGGAGGGAGAACATGCAGGGTTTTTCTTTGTGAGATTGTATGGCCTCAGTACATTCTAGGTCCATCCATTCTCCTGAAAACTTGGTGGTCATTTTTCTTTAAGATTGTATTCTTTTGAATCTATGTGCCAGATTTTCATTATCTATTCCTCTGTTGACAGACAGCTAGGTTGGTTCTATTTCCCTGAAGCCGCAGTAAACATGGGGTGCAGATACCTCTATGGTAGGGCATGGCGTTCTCTGGGTATGTGCCCAGGAGTGAAGTAGCTGGGTCATTTCTGCACTGATTTCCATAATGGCTGTAATTTGTACCCCACCAACAGAGAATAAGGGTTCTCCACATCCTCCCCACCATTCGCTGTCAGATTTCTTGGTGGCAGCCATCTGCTGGGTAAGAGGGGTCTTGAAAGGTTTAATTTGAAGGAAGCTTTTGATTATAGCTTCAATCTCATTGCTTGTGATGAATCTGCTTAAGTTGTTTATATCTTCTGAATTAATGTTGGTATATGATAGACATTTAGAAATTCTGCGTTTTTCAGCTTTTTATAGAGTTTAAATCTTCACAGTCATCTCTGATAATGTTCTGTTATGATCCTGCTATCATGACCCTTTTGAACTCTAATTTTGTTAATTTGTGTCTTTAACCTCTTTTTGTCAAGTTGTCTAAGGGTTTGTCAATCTTACTAGCTTTTCTCAACCAACTCTTTGGTTGATTTTTGTTCACTGCTCCTTAAATCTTTAAATATATTGTCATGTACTGCATGTGGGGTTGACTGCGTTTGTTACCTCTCAGATCTTTTAATGTGAGCACTTAACCTTTACAGACGTTCCTCGTAGGACTGCCTTGGCTGTGTCCCAGAGGTTCTTCCGGGTGTGTTTTCATTGTCATTTGACTTTGGGCATTTCTTTTTTTACTTGAACTACTCGTTCAAAAATGTATTTTTATTTTTAAATATTTTTGTGGTTTCTGTAATTATTATTCCTTTGAGTTATTCCACTGTGGTTTGACACAATACAAGGAGTTAATTCCAATTTTTGTTTGTTTGTGAGTCTTGATTTGTAGTCTATATGATAGTTTGGAGAAGGTTCCATGTGCTGCTGTTAATTGTTTTACTTCTTTGTTTAATTTTTTTTTCTTTGAGTTTTCAAGATGGTGTTTCTCTGTAGCCCTGGCTGTCCTAGAACTCATTCTGTAGGCCAGGCTGGCCTCAAACTCAGAGAGCCACCTGCCTCTGCCTCCTGAGTGTTATAAAAGGGATGGGGCACCACCGCCTGGCTTGTTTAAAGCTATTTATAAGTCATGTCTATGTGTGTGCACGTGTACGTGCCTTCCACCTGTGTGTGCCTTTGTGGGTGCATGGCCAGCAGAATCTAGAAGATGGTCAGATCTTCTGCAGCTGGGATTCCACCTGGCATGAGTGCTGAGAACCAAACTTGAATCTTCTGAAAAAGTAGTATGACTTTCATTTAACCCCGAGCTATCCTTCCAAGTCTGTTTTTACTTTTTCTGTAATTCTGTGTATATGTGTGTGTCAGTTTGTGAGTCCAAGTGCCCGTCAGACACCCTTGGTGCTGGCGTTACAGACCTTTGTGTGCTGCCCAGCATGGGTTCAGGAAACAGGTCCTCTGCTCTTAATTGCTGAGCCTGCCCTCCAGCCCCCACCTTTAAAACTGTGTTTTATTATCTGATCATGATTTCTTTTTATAATTAAAAACTATATCCATAGTATGCTCAGTTGTGGTTTTAACAAAGAGAAAAAGGTCTTCTGACTGTCACATTGCTCAAGGGCTAAACTATATTATTGGTATAATCTCGATGTCAAAATCAGTAGAGATCCATTATCTGAGCATACTGGCTCTGCTGGCCTGAGAATAACAAACCCTAAACACAGAATTGCTTCTGAACCCTCCAGTGCCACTCAGCAATTGTTTGCGTTGGTGCTCTCCTCTGATATAAATGCTGCTAATTAAACGACAGAAAACAGCTTGTTCCTGGAAATACCTCTTTAGTAACATTATAAGTAGTTCGTGTGTAGTATTAGCCTTGATCTTAAAAGAAAGAAAAAACTGGCAGGAACCTCTTTTCAGTTAAAAGTATGTTATACCTATGGAATCTAGTATGTTATTTAAGAAAACAAATTTATATACATATTTAGCTATCTCGTCTGTGTGTATTAAAATCATTCTCTAGTTTAGCTATAGCTTTTACTTTTATGTGTGTGTGTCTTGTCAGAAACATAGGTGAATGAACCGTTTGTGAATCTCCATAGAGTCAGGATTTATTGAACAACAGAGTCACAGGTACTGCAGTTTTATGGCAGCGGTTTGCCAGATATTACCACTTTCCTTGATCTCCTTAGCCAAGGCCAACACAGGGTCTTTTATTCCAGTCTTAATGGAAAGTAGCTCCACATCAGATACTGCACACCACACAGAGTTGGCTACAAAGGGTGAAGGAAGCAGAGACTCTCAGCTGGGAAACTGGCAGAAAGGCTGATGATCAGTGGGGGTGAGGTCACAAGCTAACAGGAGATCTGTGAGGGGCTGCAGCTGCTGCTGTGGAATCTGCTGGCTACAGGATAGGGGGTGAGCTATAGAGTTGAATCCAGGGACAAAGGGCAGGACCAAGTCCAGCTGAACTCAGGTGGACGGACAAGCAGTCAGTCTGAGTAAGTCATCTCAACAGTAAGAACAGAGCTGAGCTGCAGCCCGTCTGCCCTTGATGGGACGGTTAGAGCCGGTGCCATCAGAGTGGCGTCAGGGTGAGGGAGCTGCTCCCTCCTTGGTCTGGTGTCACCATTGAGTTCTTGCTGCTGGTTTTCTTTATGTGTTGTGAATAAGTACATGTTCTCTTACAGTCCCTATTCACGCTGGCAGGTTTATAGGGTGGCACTTTTTCTACTCCCCTTGTCTAAAATGCCCAAGGCTATGGATTTGAATCCCAGCACTGAAAAAGAAAAACCCTGGAAGGAAAATGGCTGAAGTGTATATTCTTAATTTGAAGTAAGGATGCAATAATCTTCTGCTGTTTGCCTACATCACAGCCTTAGGAGAGCTAAGACATGGTGGAACTGAATAAAGTAGTCAGGTGACATCCTGTACTCTCTAGGACAGCTGTGGGAAGTGGGTACAGTCAGCTGTGCTAAGCTACTCGCTGTGAAGTGCGGTGGTGCTCAGATTGTGCCGTGCCCTGGGAGACTGTAGTTCAGATCTGATCAAGCTGTTTATCATGGTCGTATATTGGTTTCAAAACAAGAAGTTGGTATGTCGTGACCTTTGGATTTCAGTTTTGGCAAACTTAGAAAAAAGTCTTTGCTCTGAACACTTTGGTAGATTTTTTTATTATTATTATTTTGTGGTGTTGACAGTCTAACTCAGGTAGACCAGCACTCCACCAGTAAACTACATCTCCAGCCCTTGGATTTTTTTTGTCGTCATTGTGTATTTTTGTTTTGAGATAGAATAGAATATTATTTGACCAAGGCTGTCTTTGAATGTAAAGTCCTCCCGTCTCCACCGACTAAATACTAGGATTATTATTAGCATGTACCACCAGAGAATTCATTTTTAAAGTAGAAAGTCTCAACTGGAAAAATTACTGATACAACAATAATAGAATAACTCTTGATTTTAGGGAGCAGTGACGGCTCTGAGCTAAGTGAAGAGACCTCATGGCCAGCTTTTGAAAGGTAAGAGAAATTAGCCACTAAAATTACTTTGACCTTTGTCCTGTCTTAGGAAGTAATATGAATGTGAATTGGAAAAAGTTGTTGTTACTTATTACTAAGTGACTAATCTTTTTACTGACAGAAGAGATGGCAAGTAGATATTTAACTCTGGAATTGTACATGAGAATGGCTATTGTGATCTTTATATATGTTTATTTGGTGTTTGTGTTTTAAATTTTTGAAATTATAACTTTTTTTAGCAATAATAAATGTCAAATAAAAAATTTTAAATAACTATAATTAACTTCTATGTACCAAAATGACATTATTTCCATAGGTCTGTATAATCTAATTGTAATACATTTATTTAACTTTTGCATTCTTAAGGACAAAATGACAGCTAACTTTAAATTACAAGTAAAGATTGGCATTTGACACAAGAGGCCAGGGCATGTGTAGTGCTTTTCGCTAACCTGCTGTACGATCATGCTGTCTTCCCTTGTTGCTTTAAGCTACAAACCCTGTCATCTGTACAGAGACAGTGTGCCGTATTGATCATCAAGTAGAACTCTCCCTGAGAGTAAGGACAAGTTATTCAAATAGGTATTTGCCACACATCCATTTGAACTCTTAAGTTACCACTTCAGTACCTCATCTGGCTCAAGACATTTGACTTGACAGAAATAAGTACTCCATTGTTACACATAAACCAAGATCCGAAGTCATAAGCTGCAAGTGGACTGGGGAGGTGGGGGAGTTGGTGCTTGTTTCGCAGTGCTGGGGGTTGAGCCCAGGGCCTCCCACTGAGCCTCACCATTGTTTTGATATTAGTGTTATATGAAAACTCCAGGTCAGTCACTTTTAAACAAGAACACTTGAAATTATATTTGAATCATTAATTTCAAACTGCCTGTTAGAAACTTTCTCTTTAAAGATTTCTCATGAGTAACAGGATTGGTTAACAGTTAGTTGTTTCTTAGGTTGTTTAAACTATAAACGCATAACCCAGTGTAGTGCTGCATCCCAGCAGGTTATCTCGGAAGGCAGTTGTAATGTGTTGGCCTTCATACCTCATACTAGTGTTCTTTCTGTATGGCACAGTTTGTTTAACATGCGTTTGCAGCTAAAACATCTGTACCTGTGCCAGGTTAAAGCAGTGGCTCTTCAAACAGTTTGAAATCAGTTAAAAAATGCAGCCCAGAAAGATTCAGACTTGAAACACACACACACACACACACACACACACACACACACAGAGTGCTCCATACCAAGCTTGGGGCCCCTAAGCATGTAGCACATGTAGCAAATGTTGTTCCATGAGCATTTGTTCCAAATGTTGTTCCCCAGTCTCTGAATCATTGTCTGAATTGTAATCACTATCTTCTCCCCTCATTTACTAGATTAAGTATCATGTATCACATGATACTTTGGTTTTCCTAAACAAAGAAATACCATTATTTCTGGGTTTATATTTCCTATATCAAATCTGATGTGATTTGGGATGAATACGGGTTCATACCATTCTTAGCATTTATTGGCTTTGACAGTTGATACGAAAATAAATAACGCCTCTATGTACTCCTCAGTTTGTCTTCACTAGTTTCTTTGATAAAAAATTTTCCTCATTCATTTTAAGTTTATAAGCCACATTGCTTTTAGGTGTCTTCATAGGGACATAATAAAATGAATTATTCATACAATTCCGTGTGTCATATTGAAACTGGAATCCAAGAAGAGCAGAGAGGGCTGTGGAACATTTTCAAGTTTCCATAGACAGTTGTTGTAACAGATACAGGAGAATGAGTGCTGTGTAGCGGTGTAGTCTAGTGTGGACTTTGTACCTGTGAGTAAGTATGTCTAAAGTCAGTAGAAAAAATTGTAACTATTTTGCATGTTTTAAAAAAGAACCCTATCTTTCCCTTTTTACGGATTAATATAGAAAGCTAGATTACAAACTAGTGTACTATTCTAGGTGTTAATGATTCTATGAATAAAAATATGTGTAATGTATACAATTTATAATGGAATCCAACAGGAACAGATTATACCATTCTCTCGGCCCGGTGACAAGAGTGCCACGAAATGGCTATCGAAGCCACACGAAGGCCAGCAGGTACAATTCCCCTGCATCAGGGGCCATAGAACTCCCTTCTGGTGTTGGTGGCTGGCTCATATGGGTATTGTCTGACATTTTTTTTCCTCTTCTTTCTCAGATAATTGGTTTTAAAACTAAACAAATTGCCCATGAAAACTTTCTTTCCAAGATTTATTCTAGTTTAAATTTGAACTATTCTTTCTAAGTCACAGGGCTAATTATTAAAATTTGCGTCTTTATGTCACATTTTTTAAATGCTAAAAAGTTGTTAGCCCTCTGACTACACACTGTCTAATGATCTGATTACGGCTGAGCTGTGCTGAGCTGTGTAAAAATCAATTTGTTACTCTTAAGTTGCAATCAAAGCATTTCTTTTTCTATTAAGTTTTTATTCTATTTGTCTTTTTTAAGTAAGTTTTTTTATCCAGATAAACCATAGAGCCTAAATTTAGACAAGTCTGTTTCATTAAATAATTTTTTAGCTGGGCCTCTCTGCATTGTATTAGCTGTAGAAGAACCTAAAGATAATACACTTAGGGGGTGGAGCTCATAACAGGAAATCACTCAGAAGAACAGAGCAGCTCTTGAGAAGCGAACCCTGTCAGCTTGATGGTGTCTCCTCTTGTGTGCCCCCTCCTTTTAAACAGCTGGAGCATGAAAATTCCAGGTTGTCACTTTGAAGACACCTAAATAATTGTAAAGAAACTAAACATCTGCATTCTTTGCTGTGTTCAGAGTTCTACATCTCATAACATATTACCAGAGATTGGTATTTAAATCATTCTGTTTTAAATATTTAAAATATTTTAAACTTTTTTTAACTTAGTTTAATATACTTAGGAAATAAACTTAGGAAATATATTAAAATAATATAATAAAATAAACTTAGGAAAGATATTACAGTGATTACTAAAATATATGAAATGGGAATCCTGAGTGTGGGGTTCTTTGTTAGAGATCTCATAGGCACTGGTAGCTTTTGAATGTCATTAAAACTTACTACAGAAGGCCAGTTTCTAAAAGCATGTTATTGACTCTGTTACTTTTATTTATATACTTTAAAATTAAGTGTGAGTTTTCTGAATTGTTTTTGTAGGGTTTTTTTGTTTGTTTTGTTTTGAGCTTGTTAGTTGCATTTTCTGTTTTATATACTTAAATACTTCTAACGAAATCCTTGTCTCTCTTGCCAGCAGTCAGTTTCTGATGCGTTACCACAGTGATGTACTGTGGCATGTTAAGAAGGGGGGAAAGCCTTAACTTTTTTAACTAATCTTGGTTCAAGTGAATTCCTCCTCTCTTTCTAAGTTGTATCTGTTGAAATATGTAATCGGATGTGTGTTTAATCATCTGACTTTAATAACTTCCTCATTAGCTTTATGACAGCTTATAAATCTCAAGTCAGTAAGTCTTTAAAATCCTCAGTGTCTTACCAGCTCTCAATAAAGTATCAAAGTTTTAAAGTTAAGAATAATGGGATTTCATTTACCGACCCTCTTAATGACTGCTTCAGACATGTGCTTAGCCTCTTTCCGCTTGGTCTTGTTGTTACAGTTCTGCGGAGTCAGAAGACTTGGCGGTGCACTTGTACCCAGGAGCTGTTACTATTCAAGGTGTCCTCAGGAGAAAAACTTTGTTAAAAGAAGGCAAAAAACCCACAGTAAGATTCTCCTTATTCTAATGTAGGTCTGAAGATACGCTAACAGCCCGAGAAGCACGAAAGTTGGAAAAGAAGCAGATCCGTAGTAGAGTTGTAGTCACTAAAAACACACTGTCCTCACAAGGGTTGGTTTTAGTTTCTCCTGGACAAGGAGAACTTCACTCTAAATCAAGAAGGTGAGCACACAGAGACAGGAAGTACGCTTGGTTTCTGTCTTGGGGTATTCCCCAGAGAAGAGTGCTTGGACATGGGTCTATCAACTTTATTAGGTGACCACACTGGGTGTTTAGGATCCCAAGCCTTTCTCAGAGTGAATTTTGAAGCACAAAAGCCATGTCCTGAGTTGACACACTTCATTTAACAAGAGTAGTTAGCCAGATGTGAGACTACAGAAGCCAGAGAGCAAGGTTGGTGCATTTAGAGACTTTCCCAGAACTCTGAAGTTTGCTGGGTTAGGCTTTGTTTTGGTTTTGGTAGGTGGTGATGTGTGCTGGGTTCTACAGCCTGAATGGCTCTTCCATTGTGGGGTTGGTTGTGCTGAGGTCTGGGGCCTCATTGCAGCTTTTATTCTAACTCGGTGGTTACTGTAGTTTCCCCCATTGACTTGGGCAGTCTTACTCAGGAAGTGAAGAGTGAAGGGAAAGGAGCCACTGCTCCAGGCCACCAAATTCCCTTCCCTGCTGATTAAAGTGTTAAAGCCATTGTGTAGAGTGCAGCTAAATCACATTTTAAATATGCTTAAATCAAAGAGTCCTGAACTTCAGTTTCTAAGGTAATTCTTACCCATAATTATTTTAATGGACCCTAAAAATACATTAAGAAATAACATAATAAGCTGGGTATGATGGCATACACCTTTAATGCCATTATTCAGGGAGTAGAGTTTACATAATAAGTTCCAGGCCAAACTAGGTCTACACAGTAAGACCTTGTCTCAAAAAAAAAAAAAAAGAAGAAGAAGAAGAAGAAAGTATATCATAATTTATTTAGAAAAATTGAAAGTAGAGTAATTCCTAAGAACTAGAATAATTTTGTTCCATCAGTTTATTTGAACTTTGTAACATATTTTTCCATGTAAACAGAATCCCAGTACTAAATGTCCTCCAAATATCCCTGCCAGAAACAAGAAACTGACAGGACAGAACTTGTAGTATATAGCAAAAAAAGTTTGTTTTTTCTCAGAGCATAATAGTTTGACTACTAAGAAAAGTTTTTTCTTTTCTCAAATCACAGTACAGTTTAATTTAAAATATATATCTACTAGGCGGTGGTGACACACACCTTTGATCCCAGCACTGTGAAGGTAGAAGTAGGCGGACCTCTTGAGTTTGAGGCCAGCCTGATGATATATGTAGTTCCAGTCGAGGTTACATAGAGAAACCCTGTCTTAAAATAACATTAAAAAAAAAGGAATAATAAGGCACATATCTACACTTACAGCTTTTGAAAATCTAAGGGCTTCTGAAAATGTGAAAGTGGTCCATCTATGTCATCTTATTTTGCTTTTTACATCACATTAAACCAAAGGTACACACATTCAGAAAGCTAGCTCTCACGTGACCTTAGAGTCACACGTGGGCTGTTGTCTGCTAGGTGCTAGAATCTAGCAGTAAGCGTGCAAAACTAAGTGCCTGCCTTGTGGATAGTGTACTCCACTGAGGAAAGCGGAGGGGTTAGCATACAGATGGGCTTCCAAAGGTGGACTGCATCGCTAGCACTGTGGGGAAGTGTCCCCAGAAAGATCTGTACAGCATCACAGCCCTGGGTTATGGGTGTGCTGCTATCCGTGCCCACTCCTTCCCTTGTTGTTTTGGGGTTTTGTTATTGTTGTTTGTTTTTCAAGACAGAGTTTCTCTGTGTAGCCCTGGCTGTCCTGGAACTTCGTCTGTAGACCAGGCTGGCCTCTAACTCACAGAGATCCACCTGCCTCTGCTTCCTGAGTGTTGGACTTAAAGGTGTGAGCACACATGTACCGGGTCACCCTGTGTCAGCACTGCTAAGGGATGACATGACAAAGGGAAGACTGGTAAATGTCTTAACAACAGCTGCTAGCCCTGGAAGCCACAAGAATGAAGCTGAGTAGAAAATGGGAAAAACAAAAGCAGGGGCAAGAGTGAGAAACCTTGCTGTGAAAAGAGCTGAATGATGTCGAGGGCAAAGGAGGACTCTAAGGAGGGAAATCTCTCCGGGCTCATTGTGTGATTAGGTGGAAGAGGGAGGAATTACTGCAAACACAAATTAAGAAAGAGGAACTGGATGTCCAGAGCATAAATAGTTAAGTTTATAGCTGAGTGGTAGTGGTTCATGTCTTTAATCCCAGCCTAGTCTACAGAGTAAGTTCCAGAACACCCAAGGGCTACACAGAGAAATCCTGTCTCCCAAAAAAAGGAAGTTGAGTTTGTCTTTGATAGCTTCAGGGTTAGCAGAACTTTGGTAGCAAGAAAGAAGGCTGATTTTTTTTTGAGTCTATAAACAGTTATGGAATGTGTGTTGAAAATACGAGTTTTTATTTTTTAATCCAGATTTAATCTATTTAAACAGGAATTATGTAATGACATCATGGGAGTTAGTATAATAGAACTTTGAGGAGTGGGTATGAAATAGTTGTCTATACAAGTTCCAGGATAGCCAAGGCTACACTGAGAAACCCTGTCCCAAAAGAAAAGGAGAAAGAGAGAGGGAAAATAGTTGAAAAAGTTGTCTATAGAGAAAGAATACAATGACTTGATTGAGTAAAAAAAAAGTTAAAAAGTACTATGAGATTGGTAAACACAATATTACCTGTTGGCAAAGCTGTGTTCCCTCCCATGATACTCTGCTGCTAAGTAAGCAGATACAAAGAAAAACAGCTTCTTCTGTCGTTCCCCCTTATTTTTTGAGACAAGGTCTCTCAGTAAACCATGAGCTCAGTGGCTTAACTGGATGTCCAACAGTCTACCTGTCTCCCACCCCCACATGTCTGCTACTGAACACAGCCTTTCCTTGTGCTGGGGTCCTGAACTTTGGTCCTCATGCTTGCATACAGCAAGCAAGCACTTTATTGGCAGAGCCATCTCTTCAGCACTCAAAAGGTAGAGGGTTCTTGATGAGATGTGGAATTACTTGACTTCTGAAGTGTCTTCACTGAAAGTGACAGCAATGTCCGAGATGCAGATTTAAAGATGCTATAACCTGTCTCTAATAACTTAAGTGAAGAATAGAATAGTGTCCCTAAGAAGGTCAGATCAGAGCCTCTCGGTGATGTTTTCAAGTTTATCTTCTCCAGGTAGCATCTTGGACAAAGTACTGGGCAGCCTTGTGTGGAACACAGCTTTTTTACTATGCTGCCAAATCTCTGAAGGCTACAGAAAGAAAACATGTAAGTATTCCTCCTCTAAACCATTAGCATTGTTTCACTTCTTCCTGGTTGTACAGAGAATACCCCTAATAGGATACAAGATCACGTTTCTCATCCAACAGCTGTTATGCTTACTCCTAAATGCATGTTATAGTTGGAAATGTGTTTGAGCAGCCATTCCAAGGAATGCCGTGGAATCACTTTTGTATTTCCAAGTTTTTCCATTGCAAATGTGAAAATAGCGCATTGCAGATATCTGTTTTGGGATTAGACCTGTCTCAGCCTGCATTGGGTCAGACCATGGCTCAAAACCCCTGCCTTGTAGCCTCAGTTCCTACTATTTAAATGTGAACATGAAAACAATACCTAAAATTCTGTCCCATATTTGGGCATGATGGCACACACCTCCTAGCACTCAGAGGCAGAGAAGTTATGATCTCTGATTTCAAGGGCACACCATGAATTCCAGGACTTCTAGAAAAGACCCTGTTCCAAAAAGAACAACAAAAAAATCTATCTCGACTCTAACGCAGCATTTCTCCCAACGTGGGCACAGTAGTTACAGCAGCCTGCTCTCATACCCTCCATGCGTCCTTAAAAGCCTCTTGATGCTCTTTTCTCTATGTGCAGCCTTTTCAATTATGGAATGTTTACTTTTTAATTAGTATACCAAGTCTTAGATTTTATTATGGTATTTCACACATAGGTTTTGTCTTGTTGATCTTCCTTCCCCCATCTTTTCCCACTGCCCCCAGCCTATACCCCGTTTCTTCCACCAGAAGTCTCTTTTCCCACTTTATGTCACATGTTCTGTGCCCTTCCCACAACAATTCTCTCTTCTTCTGGTCCCCTTTTTGGTTTCATGGCCTAAGCAGACGCACATCTACACACATAAGTAAACACTGAAGCTAGGATCTGTAGGATCTGCACATAAATGTGGATTATCTCACACTTTTTTTTTTGCATCCATCCATTTCATGCAGTTTTCACTTTTTCTTTGTGACTGGATGAATTCTTTTGTCTATAGAGCATATTTTTACTGTCCATTCACCTGCTGATGGACATGTAGGTTGGTTTATTTGTTTAGTGTTGTGGATAGAGCAGCAATAAACGTGGAAGTGCAAGTATCTGATGTGATAGAATGGCTATAGGTGCATGCCCAGAAATGAAGTAACATAAAACCTGGGTTTATGGGTCGTAAAACCTCTGGTCTTATTTCCATTATGGCTGCACTCCCACCCACAGTAACCAAGGCTTCCTCCTTCCCCACATTCTTACCTGCATTTGTTATCTTGATCTAGACTAGGGGAAGTGGAATCTCAATGTAGTTTTAATTTGCATTTCCCTGGTGGCTAAGGATATTAAACATATTTCAAAATATTTACTGGCCATTTGTGTTTTATGCTTTGATAACTGTCTAGTCCTCTCCAATAGTTCATTTATTATTTGGCAGTTTGGTTCATGTTATGTTTAATTTTTATTTGCAAATTTCATACATGAGTACACCGTGTGAATCATTTCTGCCCTCGACTCCTCTTTTGTCTCTCCTCTTGAATTCATGACATTGTTTTTTGTTTGTGTGTGTGTGTGTGTGTGTGTGTGTATACACAAAGATATGCAGCCTACTGAACCCAATTAGTGTTGCCCTTGTTTGCATGTGTTTAGAGATGTCCACAAAGATTACAATAAGTCAAAGGCCAGCTTGAGCTACAGTGTGAGACCTAATCTCAAAAAATGAGGGAGGAGAGAAGAAAAATACTTGACAACCATATGCTGTACATATACCTGAATTGGAGTTATTATTTGTTGGTCCATGAAGAATAAACTTGGGAAGTGAGAAGAGCCATTATTTTGTTATGTCTCTGTTTTTTGAATGTTTAAAAATGAAAGCATACTGATTATGTAAGGTTTTAGTTGAAGTATATTCATTGCAAAAAAAAAAAACCTACAGCTATATTTAAATCTATCACTACATAGTAATGATTGAACAGTGTGTTTTATTAGTTAAAATTTAAAAAACCAAACCTACACTTGGGAGAAAACGCTGTAGTACTTATAAAGAATAAAACAGAAAAATAGAACAGGGAAATTAATGGAAGGTAAAATGTAGTAACTAACCAGCTTGATTAAATGATCATTCATTAGACAGAAATGTAAAGATGGATGATATTGCATTAGCTGTGATGTAAGATTACATGTGGTCAGAAACTTAAAGTGTGTATGTGCAAGTGTGTGTGCGTGCCTAGGGGGGCTGTCAGGATTCCTTTAATATACTGTAATTCCTCATCTAAGAAATTTCTCCAGTTACCTTTGAACAAGTGGTTGTCACTTAGTGCTTTTCATGGCCAAATAGTCTTCTATTTTATGAGTTTATCATAATTTAGTCATTATTCTGTTAGTGAGTATTTGATAGGTTTGTTTCTTCCCTATTTCTGTTGTGGATATTGTGCACAGATTCTCTGGGTTATGTCTTGAGGAGTGTAAATATTAAGCTTTTCCAGAAAAGGCAAATTAGGTTTCCTGTCACCAGAAATAATGGGGCTCCCTGTGGACACGCGTGTGGAGCACAGCTTTGTTTTGTCTGCCATTGGTTACTTCAGTGAGCGTCACCCTTTCCGTGCTCTCTCTTCACAGAATGGCTGTGGATCTGTTGCTTATTCTTGTTTTAGTTACTTAGTAAAGTTCTACATTTAACCAAGCCACACTAGCAATCACATGATGAAAGTATCATTCAGTTTGACTTTTACTCTGTACTGTGACTTCTGGCAACTTTTTTACACACTGCTAGGTTTGAATTGTAGTATTTTTAGCACTCCTTATTCCTGTTAGTGAGACTCACCTTACTTTCCGCCCTTTCCCCCACAGAAAAGAGTGATTACCTACGAAAGTAACCAACATGCGAAAAATATCTCCCTTTGTTTAATTTTTGTAATCTTTCTTGGTTTTGCAAAATACAAGTAAGAATTGTTGGATAGCCTCGCTGGCATATGAAATCATCAGACTGAGGAAGTACACATGTTAGGATGCAGCCGTGACGCTTAAGTCAATAGTTCTTAGCCTGTGGGTCACGAGACCATGGGAAAAAAAACAGGTGCTTACATTGCAACTCATAGCAATAGCAAAATTAGTTATGAAGTAGCAACAAAGTAATCGTATGGTTGGGGTCACCACATGTGAGGAACTGTATTGAAGGGTCACAGCGTTAGGAAGGTTGAGAACCACTGCTCTAGGTGGAAACACTGTGACTAGGAGAAGCCACAGATTGACAAGCATGCTTTTCAGAAATGTGCGGTGTAACAGCGGCTGTGATGAAGCATGGCACAGGGGATGGCTGTGTAAGAGGGCGTGCCACGCTGACCTGGGTCACATTAGGTCACACAGCTTCTCTGTCCTAAGGACAAACTGACACTTCCCTTTCCGTGAGAACTGGCCATAAAAGTCACTGGTTGTCACCATTTGTTTTCTCTGATTATCCTAGTTCAAGTCAACGTCAAATAAGAATGTGTCTGTGGTGGGGTGGATGGTGATGATGGCTGATGATCCAGAGCATCCAGACCTCTTCCTGCTGACTGACTCTGAGAAAGGTGAGCTGCTAGCGAGACGGGGATAGAGGTGCTGCAGACGCTCACTCCTGAGCCCTGGTCCTGGTTCTGCTGTATCACCAACACGAGGGTGTTGGAGGAATTGCGTCTTTTGATAGTACTTTTATTCCATTTTTATCTTCTAAGCTTAAATTAAGAGCCCAAGTAATCCAACTCATGGAGTCTATACTCTGACTTTGAACAAAGGCTCACTGTATGTAATATAGGCAGTACCTCCTGGAGTGAGCGCACAGTAAGGGTGGGGTGATAGTATTTGCAGACTATCTAGAGAAGTCACACAGTTATTTTAATGAACAGTTAGGGAACCACAATCCCTTTACTGTACGTAGAGTAGAAAGGTGATTTTCTAAACATCAGATCCTATGAGCATATGGCATAAAAATTGTCCATTGGGAAATGAGGCTGCAGATAAAGAGGATTCTGAAGCTGAGCCCTGGAGTCTGTTTCGCTCAGTCTTCTTGTCTGGCTGGGATGTTGGGTTTTATTGTCGTTAAGTTTACTGTTTTCTACTTGCTTTTGGTAATTTTAGGAAATTCATACAAGTTTCAAGCCGGCAGCAGGATGAATGCGATGCTGTGGTTTAAACACTTGAGTGCAGCCTGCCAGAGCAACAAACAGCAGGTGAGTAGTCCTCCTCCTCCTCCTCAGACTCTGTAACTTTTACATTTTTATTTATGTATTTTAGAGAAAGACATTCATAATATAATAAATAGCCAAGGCTGGCCTGGAACTCACTAGTTAGCTCAGGCTGACCTCAAACTTGTGATTCTCCTGCCTCAGCACTGGTGTTCTAGGGTTTATATATGCACTACCATACCTAGTTGAATAATTTTCTCAGTAGTGCATAATTTTTGTGGCGTCCCTATTTTAGAAAGATAATAAGTAAACAAAACTATGCAATACAGAGTGAAAAGAAGAGAGACTGGTACGGAAAGGCACCACCTGTGACTGAGCTTTCCCAGAGACAGTGATGCTCACGAGAGTGGAGGGCCAATTCAGGCAACCGCCAGCGTGCAGATAAAGCTAGAAGTTTTTAAAATATGCAGAGACGTGGCCAATGTTTGAGAAAATGACAGCTAAGAGGGTAAAATCCAGGTGGTACTTGAACAGAGCTCTGATTTATCTTTGGTAAAAACTTGACGTGGATTCCCGTGGTTGCAGCAAAACCATGGTGACCAGTGAAAAGCTTATCTCTGTGCAGGGCAGCTGTCTGTTGTGCTGTGTGTGTTCTCTGGGTCCTCTTGCAGAGATGCCCTGAACCACAGGTTAGCAGACAGGAAACACAGCCACAGTCGTGGAGTTTGCTTGAAGCTTTTCTAGTTGCATAGATTTGGAAATCACAAATTTAGTCCTTAACATTTCCATTTGTGTCATCAGTGCCTGTCAGCAGTGCTGTGCGCTATAAATTCTTAAATTGTTTTGGTTTTTACCCTGTTATGTTACATCAGGCTATACAGCTCTTCATAAGAAAACTGACTCATACACTAATGACTTTACACAGTCAACAATTCAGGTGCTGGGCCTTGAACCCAATTGCCATTTGCCTTTCCTTTGTAAGTGTTGTTAGGTGGGCTTTTTTCTATCATAATTATTTCAGTGATGTGTGGAGGGGAAAAAAAACTGGTACAGCCTTTAGCAACTCCTTGAAGGACTTAAAATACAAAGGTTTTTGCACATATTAAGTTAGTGTCTGGGGCAGAGTGAAAGAAATAGTCTTTATTTTGCCTAAGATAAATAAATAAGACTTTCAGAGTTCTCTTCCATGCTATGCATTTTCTTTAAATATGGTCAGAGGTATTCTTATGTTTAAAGAATCTCAAATTCCAGCCAGCTGGCAGTGCCGCACACATTTAATCCCAGCACTTGGGAAGCAAAGGCAGATAGATCTCTGAGTTCCAGACCAGCCTACTCTTCAAAGTGAGTTTTAGGACAGCCAGGGCTACCCACAGAGAAACCCTGTCTCAAAAAACAAAAACAAACAGAAGTCTCAGGTTTCAAGATTAATCCAGGAGTATGCATAGCTACTAGCATAAAGAAAGGCACACATCTTTTACTGTATTAATAAACCTTCCTGCGTGGCAGTGGTGGCACACGCCTTTAATCCCAGCACTGAGAAGGCAGAGGCAGAGGCAGACGGATCTCTGTGAGTTTGAGACCAGCCCGGTCTACAGAGCTAGTTCCAAGACCAGCTCCAAAGCTACAGAGAAACCCTGTCTCGAAAAACCAAAAAAAGAAAAAGAAAAAACCTTCCTAATATCACACAGATGTGCAAAAATGGTTTTGTTTCTGCTTGTTTTGTATTAAACAGTCAGAGTTAACAAATTTATAATAGAACCTATGAAGTTTGAAAATTATTCGATGACCCTGACTCAAAGGCAAAATACCTTAAAACACATTTGGGTGATTTAGAAAATGAAGCTCACTTTGTTAAAATAAAGATTCCATATCACCAAACCTGGGATCTTAAGCACATGAGCCCTTGAGTTATATATAGCTCAATTGTGATATTGTCTCATAGAATTGGCTGAGGCTGGGGAGATTGCGCAGTGGTTGAGTGTGTGTGCTGCTTCTGTGTGGTTTGAGTCCCATCACCCACATCTAGTTGCCCAGCTACCTGTGCAGCTCCAGCTCCAGGGGGAGCAGGTACAGAGCCTGTGGCCTGTGAGAGCCACTGAACAGCTGTAAGGTTAAGGACTGAGCAGCTGGGAGGCTGTGCTGACTGTGACACCCTGTAGCCCTCGGGGTTTTGCAGGCCTGAGGTATACCCCATTTAACTAGCACACGCAAGGCTCTGCCTGAGTTTCATCCCCAAGACCACAATAATAACTTTTTAATTCACACTTACAAGATGACTAAAGGTAAATTTGACTCTTCGTATTTCTGATATTTTTATAGAGAAGTCCTTCATATTTCCTATAGAGCTCTGTGTAGCTTTCTTAAATGTATGTAGAGAAATTGATGGTAATGTGTGGGATCTGTTTATTTGAGTAAACAGCCATTAGGCCCCTGTACGGCACAAAAACATCTGCATCTTCTATTCAGGCATGCCTACTTGAAAGAACATATTAACTCAACGATTTCCTAAAATGATTTGGCCTGCTGGACTCACTGTTATAAACCCTGAAGCATTTCCTATCAAATTCCTTTTAAAAGATATTTAAACAGTGTGATGGCATGTAGATAGAGGCAGCTCGTTCATTTCCCGGCCGCCCAACCTTGAAATAATCACACAGAAACTGTATTATTTTCAACACTGCTTGGCCAATAGCTTAGGCTTCCTATTAAGTAACTCTTACGTCTTAACCTGTTCCTGTTATTTTTGTATTTTACCACAAGGCTCATGTTTTACCAGGAAGGTTCTGGCAGGCAGGCATCTTTCTCCTTTGGTGGCTACACTGCGTCTCTCTGACTCTGCCTTCTTTTCTCCTCTATCTCTGCTCAGAATTCCCACCTTGCTCTATTCTGTGCTGCCATTGGCCCAAAGAAGTACCTTTATTAACCAATGGTAATAAAACATTCACAGCATACAGAGGGGAATCCCACATCAATGACTCATGCTTTCATTCCTAATACTAACAAGTTCAAGACTGGCCTGTGTAGCACAATTAGTAAAAACCCAGAGACAGATATTGGAATTCAACCTGAAGGTTAGAAAAGCAAAACAGCCAGCCACTGGCTATACATCTACCTCAGTCCAGAGTAGCAATCCTGCCTCCAGGAATCCTCAGAATGAAACTCTCTGAGAGCTGTCTCCTCCTGTCATATATTCCTCTCTAGTGCTGGGATTAAAAGTGTACATCACTGCCTGGTCTGTGAGGCTGACCAGTGTGGCTGTTTTACTCTCTGATCTTCAGGCAAGCTTTATTTATGAGAATACAAATGAAATATCACTACAGGCCTGGGCTACAAAGTTGAGACCTTGTCTTAAGAAAGATACACATAGGTCAGAGTGACTTGGGTTTGGACAGAATACCTGCTAAATTTAGTTTATCAAATCTCATATAAATTGTTGAAAACAGCTTATTTAACAAGAAGTCCTACATTTTGTATATAATAACACAATGTATATGTTAAATTTTGAGTTACGGAGCCCTCATCCCAGAGTGTACTCATGAGGGCAAAACCATTTTAGGACCCTGTGACAAATGTGGTCAGTGACTAGTAAACCAGCTTCTGAGAGCAGTCTGTTTGGAGTGGTAACAGTCAGTGTGGGCTGCTTGTGTTTTCAGGTTCCTACAAACTTGATGACTTTTGAGTAAAAGCCCGAGAAAGAGGAGGTGAACCGTTGTTCCTGCATGGAGCAAGGACCTGCTGCAAGCATCAGCCGCACCATACCGTGCCAGGAAGAGCCCCAGGCTCCAGCCCAGCCTCTGGAGCTCAGAACCAAAAGCACTAATTTCAGGGAATGAAGTGAGATATTCCCAGAGAACAAATTGGAGTTGCAAAACAAACTGCCATGAACTATGCTTCTATCTCCGAACTGACCTGTGGAAACCACTGCCTTAACAGAGTGAGAGGAAAACCAACACCAAACAGTGTGTGTGAATCTTCCGGTGGTGCTGGGCTTGGAATAAATTGTAGCTACTTTGCGTTTCTTTTAACTTTGTACTAATTTTGGAGGGGAAACCATCTTTTTTTAAATACACTTTAAAAAGGAAAACCCTTTCTAATGGATTCCATCCAGAGCTGTTTTAGGTGCAGTGAGAAGGACCTGGGAGGAGCAGGCCAACAGCCCCACCCCACCCCACGCCCCCCGCAGGGTCTTGTCAGCCTCTGCTCCTGGCTTCATTTCCCCACAGCAAGATGTGGGAGTTGGGTGATGGCAGTGCAAGTTATGGGGGTGTGTTTGGGATAGGGTGTGCTTTATTTGGGGTGAGGGGTGTGTTTAAACTCTACGCTTCGGAATTGAGTGCTAGAAGGAGGTGCAGAGGCCAAGCGTTCCCACGCAGCCAGCTCCAGAAAACACCTTCTTTCTCACTGCTTTACCTTCTGTTGAATTCACTGTTGGCCACAAATCTGTATAGAAGAATGGTAATCCCAAGCTGAGGTTTCTGTAGATTCTTCTCAAGTGGATTCTCCGACCACAGGTGTTCGTCGTTGTGGTGAAGACCCTGGTGTTTTCCAGGGCAGGGTCTCGCCCTTTGCAGTGTTTAAGGTGCATTATGCCAGACTTTTTATTGAATTTGTTTTTGTTCAGTATGAGGTTCAAGAGCATACTTGTTTAAAAGATTCTTCATATGTATGTATGTGTTTTATTGTAAGACAAAACAGTTTTAAGAAGAATAAAGGCAAAGTTTGAAGCTCTAGGAGTTAAAAATATAAAACCATTTCTCTGTATGACTTCCCAAGATATTCCAGAGCATTTTTAGAAAGCTTACTGTCGGTCCCCAACCTGAAGCTATGTTTTGTTATAACTGGCCAAGCAGTTTTGAGAGTGCTTTCCTAGGCAATAACGCATTTAATTTTTAAGATAAATGTTGGGCTTGAGATAGCCTCAAATTTTAACCAAGAATAGCCCATGGATAGACTGCTGAGGGCTAGGCTCTTAGTGGTGGCTCCACATGCAGAGGCCTTGACTTACACCTCCAAAGCAAATTGTTCTTTGAGTCACACATAAAAATTCTCGCATTTGTATACTTAAAGAATTGTGTGCTTTTTATCAGAAATATTTATCAAGTCCATTGAGCTTAATTGGAAAATACTGTGTGTACAATAATTTAGCTAATTAGCTAAAAAAGAGATCAGTTCAAGAGAAAGTGAAGAGCCTTTTCTGAGTGTTTCTAACTTCAATAATTCAAATGTGTTCGGTATGTGACAGAAATACATTATTTGGTGTTTCATTAACAAGCACTGAAGGCACACGTCGCCTGTATGGAATGATTTTTCATATAATGGTCTAAGCTTAACCCATGTTGGGTATACACAGACAAACATTACTGAGTAGCCAGCAGTATTATAGTGTAGACTTTGCACATCTTACTTTGTTTTGCATATTTTTAGCAATATCTTAGTTTATTTTGCTCCTGAAATGTTTTAAATAGTGTACTGCTGTTTTTGAGATACTGTGAATGAGAACCCTGTGGCTTATTACTACTTTATCAGACCCTCGCATCTGTGGAGATGGGCGGCTAGCAGAGGCCGGCCTCACAGTTCTGCCAAAGAGAAAGCACAGAGGTGGAAGACGTGTTTGCTGCGTCCAGCTCTAGACACTGAGGGTGTGTAGGGGAGAACCACATTCAGATCTGATTAGCCAGTCTGTGTTAGCACTGTGGCCTCTGGCTGACTGAAACTATTTTTCTACCTTAAAATTTGCTTTAAGTATCAGCTGTTGTTTCTTAGGATGATTTTAGAAACTGAGAGATGAGTGACATAGAATAGCTTGAGTTTTTTTATCTATAATTCACAAAATGGTAGCAGATTATAATTGAAACAAAGAAAACATTGCCAAACTATATTAAATATTTGAGTACTTTATTTGTTGGAGAATGAATCCTATTACACTCAGCTGTGAAGTGACTCACAGGCCCGTTTTCATGAACATTAAAGCTCATTTGTTTCCCTCCTAGCCAGGGAGAGCTCTTTAGAAATCCAGTTAAAGCATATACTTCAGCTGGTGTGGAAGCAGACTGAATGGGTGTTCTGTGACTTGGTGCAGTGGTGTAGTGCTAGCCGTGTCTCCTCTGACAGCTCATGTGGACATAAAGGCTTCTTTTCCTTAAGCCCGTGTTTGAAGTGCACCTGTAAAACCACTGCGTAACGCCCAGCACTGTTTGCGCCTCACGTGCTTGTTTTCAAAATATTTTCACTATAGTGTCCGTGCTGTAAGGATCAAAAGAGAATTGATGAAATACATCTTTCTTTTTGGTTTTGTTCAGTGTGTATTTGTGTAAACAATTCAAAGGAGGAGCCAGTTTGGGAGTATCTCTCTCAGCATATGTTTCTGTGGCGGTCACTTTTTCTGTATGAACAGAACCACCTTCTTCATAGTCTACTGCTCTTGGGCCTCAGTGTCAGAGTCAGGGTGATCACAGCTGCAGCTTTGATGATGGTCTTTGTTTCCACCTCGAGGTTTATAAAGAAGCCCAACAAGCAGCATGGTTATCTGGGAGGAATGGAGGCACGCTTAGACCCCTCAGTAGCTGAGATGGGTCCCTGTGAGTATTGCTTCGTCAGCCTCTGGGGATTATGAGCATTTAGCTATCCAGATGACTTTAGCAGAAAGTTTTTTCCTGAGGTTAAATCTGTTAATTACATGAGGTTAAATCTGTTAATTACATATACTTAGAACTGTGAGGCACTGTATTGATTGGAAATGAGTACTAATAGACTTAATTCGTTGGCTTTTTAAGAGAAGACACCTTGTGCTGGTGTCCTTCCTGTTTACGGAGGCACTTTCCTTCCTAACTGGGTTTTGAGCCATCCTGTTATCTTCTGCAAACAAGAGGTACCAGTGTGGCTTAATGGAAGACAAGCTTTAATTTAAAAAATCCTCTGCCCCTAAGACTTAAAAGAATTGTATCCTTTTTGAAAATGGAGCTGCACTTGATTGTGCCAGAGCCCAGCATTAGTGCTGCGAGAACAGCGAGGGGCCAGTGGTGGGCGTGTCTGAACTGTAGCCTCCTCTTAGGGCTTGCGCTCATTTTCTCTTCTTTTGTATTATTTCTTATTACCATTCAGATTTTACAGCCGGAAAGGTGTTGCTTTTTTTTTCTAAGCCTCTGAGACACAAAAACATTGCTGTTAAATAGTTTTGATGATAAATTACATGTGAACCTTTTCAAAATGATTTAAGTACCTTTTGGCTTTGCTTCCCTAAAAAATGGCTTGTGTCTAAAGTGACTTCAGTTTGAGAGTTCTACTGAAGAGATGCATACACTCCAGCTTTTCAGCTCAGTGAAGGCAATTGCATTTTATCCTCTTGCCAGCCATAGTGTGGAGAACATTGGATCAGTGCCTTATCAATTTGGACCAGTTTTAGGGCATTGAAGACGGCTATAATCATCTGCCCTCTTAATCCTCTGGCTTAAGGGGTGTGCCATCCCTCTCTTCACCCACAATTTCACAGCAGCCTGAAGATGACTGCGCAGACATCTGGATACTGCAATCCTCCAGTCGTAATTCTTTTGCAGCTAAGCCCCCCTCCCTGCTGCTGTCTTGTCTGGGTAGGTTAATCATACATGCACTCACGTGAGCCTTTTAATGGGCACTCTGAGTGCTGGCTCTGAACTCCATCTGAGCAGGTTTGAATTCGGTGTTGTTTTGAGCTTAGGTTAGTGACAAGGACTGTCGGGGAAATCCCTAACGGAGTAAGATGCATGCAGAAGGAGTTGTTTCGGTTTTACTAAAACTACTAAAATACTCAGTGGCAATCCCTTTAGCCAGAAATGAAATGTATTTCAGTTTCCTATTTAAGACAGAATGAACAAGCAGTCCCTTACCCTGCTGGTTATTGCTATCTTGAAAATACACAAGAAAGAGACAGTGCTATTAATAAATCAGGCAAGAGAAACCTAGCTTAGGTTTCTCAGCCAAAGCAAAGTTTGAAAACGTTTTGCTTAGGATGTTGGAAGGCCAGGAGATACTATTGTCTGAGTAGAAATGTTGTTTTCAGAATCCTTAGAGAGCAGTAGATACAGATACACATGGTCTTTGGAGCCAGTGAGAGGGGTAGCAGGTCCTTGGCGGTTTTTTGGCAAAATTTAAGATCTGATTCCAGTCAATTGGTCTACAAAATAGAGTTAAAGGAATTCATGGAGTGCTTGGGAAGGAAAGCAGAAAATACCAAATATCAGCAAGATATTTCAAATTTTTATATCAAGTAACGAATGTCATGTCCCTGACGATGTCACCTAGTAGAACTCACAGTATGGTTCCAGAAAGTATTGAGTTAGTGGGTGTGACTAAGATAGCTGATGGGAGACCCAACTCGTTTCTCCAGCTTGATTGTTGATGTTCATTCTTTGACAACCCACTGAAGGACCTGGAAGGAAGAGCTCAAACATCTGTAGGGATAAATATCCAAAGCTAATATTTAAAAAAGAAAGAAACATTCACAAGCCATTTTCATCCTTTGTCTCAGTTAACTTGAGGTACTTAATGATGAAGTGTTCACTTGCACTATGACCTCTTTGAGTGATGTGCAACTTGGTTCCTCTCTGGTTTTGTTTCTTTTTAATATGCAGAAGTGAGTGTGTGATCTTCAGTGCGTTTGCATAAGCTAACTTAAGATGAATTTAAGAACAGTTTTCTGAAATATTTCTATTGAAATAAATGACTTAAAATTATAGATTGTGTGATGTTTTGTTACCGTATTTGCATTTAAAAATGCAGTCAACTTTGTTGGTTTGTTTGCTCTTTTTAACCTTTCAAAAGAAATTAATAAGAACAGTTACTACAGAGAGAAGTTCTGAATGACTATGCCCAGAATGAGAGTGTGCTCTGGCATTCATTGTATATAGAGGGATCTCCCCTCCCCCCCAAAGGCCTCATTGCTCAAACAGTCCCATAGGTTCTAATACACAACAGTTTGCCTCCAGGACTAGATATTGTACCTAGGTCATCATGTATGCTAGGCAAACATTCTGCCACTGAGGTATAATCCTGTCTCCTTTAAGACAGAATCTCAGTAAATTGCTTGAGCTGGCTTTTTTGCAATTCAAAAGGCCTTGAATTTGAGATCCTCCTGTCTGACCTTTGAGGCCAAGTAAGAATTCGTTTGGTTGGTTGGTTGGCTGGCTGGCTGGGCTGGTTAGGATGTTGGGTTGGTTGGTTGGTTGGGTTGATTGGTTGCTTGGCTGGCTGGGCTGGTTAGGATGTTGGGTTGGTTGGTTGGTTGGGTTGATTGGTTGCTTGGCTGGCTGGGCTGGTTAGGATGTTGGGTTGGTTGGTTGGTTGGGTTGATTGGTTGGCTGGCTGGCTGGCTGGTTTTGTTGATTGGTTGCCTGGCTGGCTGGTTGGGTTGGCTGGTTGTGTTGGCTGACTGGCTGGTTTGGGTTGGTTGGTTGTGTTGGCTGGCTGGCTGGCTGGCTGGCTGGTACACAGACTCCTTTGCCAGCCTGTGGAGCTTTCAGTCAGTGGAAGAGCAGAAGCACCTGTGTTGAGGTAAGCCATCCCTTAAGAATTCCTCATGAGCTCTGCCTATTAAGTACTTTGGAAATTTTCTCCGGGCAAAAATGCCCCATGTTTTCTGCTGTAAGGACCAGCCTCCAGCAGCTCAGGAGTTAAAGGGAGGCCACAGAGTCAACGGACTAAGCACTCAGTTGGCTTTTCTGAGGGAGTAAAAAAATTTTCTGGGGCCGTTGAAAAAGGAAAACACACACACTCACACTTGGGTCCATCATGCCAGGTTCTTACCTAGAGTGCTGGCGAACGGCAAGTCTTCAACAGGTCAGAGAAACTTCTGAGGAGATGCAGAGCAGGCAAACAGGACAGACAGACACATGAGGACTTTTCTCAGGGCCAAAGCTTATTCTTTATTATTCTTTCTGTTGCTTGCTCTACTCTGTTCTTCTCTGTTCTGTTCTTCTACCCTGATGATTCCCTTCTGTCTTTCTTGATGTCTTCTCCTTTATTTACAGCTTTTATACCCCAGTAAAATCTTTCAAGCAATATAAAAATTGCATTGTGGTTACATTCTATTTTTCAAGTGAATGATTACAGTAAATACAAGTAAAAAAAAAGTTTTCGAAATCACATGATTCGATATTTTACATATTATAGGTAAAAATCCAATTATCCCCATTTCCAAGCCACTTGTTATAGATTAACAAAGTATATTCAAACAAGGTATTTTTCTCATTTTACTGGCAGGCTGCATTTTGCAGTTACAAAGGACCAATCATTTTATTTCCAAAGGTAACCTTTTAAAAAAATCTTCAAAGGGTCACAAACATAACTTATATATGAAAAACAATCATTTCTACTTTAAGTCCTCAAGGTGCATACCCAGTCATGAACAGTTTGTTATTAAATCATTCAGGAAACTAAAGGCAGAAATGGGTGTACAGAATACACCGTCGCCTTTGATCACCAACCTAACAAGAAAGGTACATCAACCAGCAATAGCCAGGCTGCCGTATCTCAGGTCCCTCACTCAACTATTAAAAATATCTTTCTAGACTTTAAATTACTCCCCAAGACTTTCTACCTCAGTTAATGAAAACATCTTAACCTAACCTTAAGTCATTTAAAGCTTTGTTTTAGAGATGATCCACACAACCCATAAACACATCTCCCAAAATTAAGATTAAAAGATTTTTGAGGGGGACTGGAGAGATGGCTCAGCGGTTAAGAGCATTGCCTGCTCTTCCAAAGGTCCTGAGTTCAATTCCCAGCAACCACATGGTGGCTCACAACCATCTGTAATGAGGTCTATAGACCTCATGTAGGCAGAATACATACAGAATATTGTATACATAATAAATAAATAAATATTTTTTGAGAAAGATTTTTGAGGTAGCCTAGCTTCTGGGACTCAATTGTTTTCCTTAATCGTGAACGTAAACCATAGTCTGTACGACTCCTCAAGAGAAACTCCTACCTGGGTGACACTTCCTTGGTCCTGTTTTCTACCCTCTGCAGCCCCTGTCCTACCAGGGGCAGGGTCAATACCATATTCTGCCTTTACCTTTATTAATTTTGCTACTAATCTAACCTCCACCATAATCCTTTGCTACATTTGTTAAAAACCTTTAATCATCAAAATCATATTAAACTAATACTGTATAAAATCTTAACTTCACTTAAACAGTACAGCTTAAGAGAAAATCGTCCTCATAATAATCCACAGATAAAAATACCCAGTGGAATGTTGTGCTTCCTTGAGGTAATCACTCATTAAAGGCAGAGGGATCCCCTCACACCAGGCAAGACACCATAGGAAACATGGTAGCGGTAAACATGTAAAGGCACAGCAATAACGAGACCTTCTGGAGCCAAAGCCCTCGGGGCCTTGCCTATCTAAGACTTACCCATCAGTGCGTCGAGTTCTGGTGGGCAGAACGCCTGGAGCTCAGTGCCACCTGATGTTCCGCTGATGTGGCCACCAATGCTGTGTAACCATAATTGGGTTTTTCAATCATTTTCTCCCCTCTTTAGTGACCTTTGAAAACTCAGGAATTTTTTATAGTTAATTCATATCATTAAGTCAATACAGCATTAAGTACTATATGACTATTATCTTTTGCATCTTCAAAATCACCTTAACTGTCCCTGAGTCCAGGTACCAGCTTGTATAATGAAAAAACTGCTGTCACTTCGTTAACTGCTTTGGTAAATAGATTAGTTTGAGAATTAACATAGTTTTAAAATTTATCTGTTCATCTGTTTACTTAGGGATTTTACTTTATTATTTCTGTTTTCTTCTTAATGGCTTTATATATGTGTTTTTTTGGTTTTTCGAGACAGGGTTTCTCTGCGTAACAGCCCTGGCTGTCCAAGAACTAGCTCTTGTAGACCAGGCTGGCCTTGAACTCAAAAAGATCCACTTGTCTCTGCCTCCTGAGTGCTGGGATTATAGGTTTGCGCCACCACCGCTTGGTGTGGTTTTATGTATGTTTTAATTAGTTTAAATCTAGTTAAATTTGTTTTTACTTTGACTTTTTTCATTTTCTTTGAATTTCTCTCTGAGAATGCTGTTGACTTTTAGGTGCGTATATCCAGCAACCTTTTGAGAAGTCAGTTATAATAGCTTATCCTTAGATTTTTGTTGGACTCTTAACTACAAGCAGAACAGGGTTATCTCTTACTTCCTGTCTTTTGTTGTATGTGTGTGTGTGTGTGTCTGTCTGTCTTACTTGTCTCATTTGGTTTGAACTAGAGTACAGTCCCAGGTCAGATGTAGAATTTAATTACCCAGTCTTCTCAGCAGCCCTCAAGGGTGCATAAGACAGAGACGGAGAGGGGGCGACCAGATAGACCCCGAGCTTGTCTTTTATCACGTAGCCCACATGTGGTTTTGATTGGCTTTTATTTCAATTTAAGTAAGCTAATTTTCAGCTTTAGTTTCTGCTTTTTCTTATAATTCTTTTTTATATACTCAGGCCATTTACTCTTGAGCTGCCTCTCATAATTCAATACTAAGTACAATGCTGGGCCACAGGGCATTACAAAGTCTGACATCAACCCGTAGTTTATGCCACTGTTTCTGAACTAACTCCCCAAGGAGTTCCTTGCCTGATGAAACTTGGCACAGCTGGAAAAGGATTCTTCGGGCACCGAGCAGGGAACAAGCCAAGGGCTGCTGCTAAGCAACTTAAAAATGATGGTCTGCTCAGTGTCAGTGGAGCCCAGACTCAGAAACCCCGGTCTGGGTTTTTATATGTCACAAATTCAATGTTAGTCTTGCTTATGTGAAAAGTTCAGCTTATGTCTGGACTTTCAACTCTCCCCTTTCTCAGCAGTTCACCCTAGTGTATCTAGAAAGACAGTCTGAATTAGCAGTGCAAGGATATGTTCATGGCCTGAGCCACTTTAGCTGAAGAGTAAAGAGCTGGAATTCTATGTGAGACCAAAGTCCAGAACGGCAAGTAAGTCATCCTCTGGAGCTCATGCAGTCAAGGTGTTTAGTCTATGTTCGGCAACAACAACAAAAACACTTGAGCTAAAAGCTCAATACTTCAACCTAAAGCAAATTGAATGAGAACATATTAAATGAGCATGTCTGTTAGAATGCCTTCCTCTCTGTTCCTTGTAAGTCTAGAAGGATTACCCTACAGAATTGGCCATCAGTATGTTAGACTGCCTTGTCTGTTAAACCTTTCAGTTAAGCCAAAGACTCTGTGCTTTTCTTATGATGTACAAGTATTATAAAAAAAAATAAATCTGCATTGAAAAAAAAAAAAGCCAAGCAAGACAAAAAGCTGTTGGGTGGGAGCTGCCTGTCCCATCTACCAGACATCCCCTTCATAGTTAATAAAACCCTTATCCTTGAGTCAGTTCCTAGAATCATTTATTTCTGACTCAAGCTCTGGGAATGTATTATTTAACTCTCTGAAGCAAATATCCAACTTAGGACCCTCACGTATATTCCAGCACTGGTACAGCTAAGAGCATGCCAATGACAGTGGTGCCTCAAATCAACAGGTGATGCAGATTTGTTACATTCTTTTAATTTAGGAGATTAGATGTAGCATCCTAAAATGACATCAAAGGCTTTCTTGCCCAAAACAGGTTACATAAAGATTTTGGATGCTGAGTAAACTAGCTGGCATTTTCCACTTTCCTGCAACAGATAAGTAGCTCCAGATGTCAGATTCCTCAGCCCACGCCTTATTAGATGAGACAC